TCAGCACCTCATTATCATCAGGCTTCTCTGTGAGCCTCTTCAGCACCTGGGGGATGGACAGCTCAGCCAGCCTGGCGTTCCTGCTGGGACACAGCCTTGGGGTGGCATCTGAGCCTGGCAGCAGAACCAGTTGCCTTATCAGGCCCTGCAGAGGGAGAAAGTGAGGTTCCATTGATTTCTGCAGTTGCTGGAGACCTGGGCCCATATGGCCCAATGGGTCTACCCTGCAGCGTGGGAATGGGTTATTGGGAAGCCACCAGGAGTGATGGCAGACAATTGCTCGTAGTGAAGAAGGGACTGTCTACATAGAACTAGAGTGACCAGGCCACATTGCTTTTCCATCTGACCCAGCTACTCTTCCATTCCTTCCTTCACTATCCACCCACCACTGATTCATTCATTCATCTCTCTCTCTCCCTCTATCTATTGTCCATCTACCTACCCTCTTACCATTCATCCATCTGCCCAGCTACCCATGTCCATTCATCATTATCTTCTATCTATCATCCATTTATCTACCCACTTACCACTCATCCATCTGCCAGCCCACCCGTGTCCACTCATTAATAGCCAATCACTCCACCTACCTATTCATCTCTCTATCCATTCACTCACCCACCTACCCATCTACCCACCCATCCAACATACATCTAGTCACCCAGGCATCAACCCATGCATGCATCCATCCATCCATCATCACCCACCCATCCAACATACATCTAGCCACCCAGGCATCAACCTATGCATGCATGCATGCATCCATCTATCCATCATCACCCACCCATCCTCGAATGCATCTATCCACCTATCTGTTTTTCCATTTGCCCATCCAGTTGTAACACAAGTACATTTCCACAGAGTGATTACTATGTGTCAGGTATGGTTGCAGATGCTGAGGACACCACAGGGAACTATAGCTCCTAGCTATGGAGTAGACTCCAGATACCACTCTATTAGTGAGTACACCACAGGTGATGGATGTATGGGTGAATGGGATGGATAGATGGATGGGTGTGTGAGTAGATGTATAAGTGGGTGGTTCAGTGGATGGGTGGGTAGATGAAAGGATGAATGCGTGAGTGGATCAGTGAATGGGTGGGTAGATAAGAGCATGAATGAGTGGATAGATGTGTGGGTGAATGGAAGGATGGGTGGATGTGGATGGGTGAATGGATAGAGGAGTGGATGATGGGTGGGTGGGTATGTGGATGAATGTGTGGGTGGATGAGTGGATGGATGAATATGTGGATGGATGGATGGATGGATGGATGGATGGATGGATGGATGGATGAATGGATGGATGGATAGAACAGACAAACATCAGGGCCAGAAAGACTGGATTTAAGCATCAGTTTATGAGAGTGTTGGGGACAGGCTTCCATGCTAGGAGGACCTGTGAGCAGGGATCCAAGAGTCTCAGGGAAGAGTGTGAGGGCCCTGTGGTGGATTCCTCAACACCTTTGTGTTTCTGGTTGTCACTTAGCATAGATGGCAATCTGTCATCTAAAGCATGTGACAGGCTGTCCCCACAGCCCTGGGGAAGGGGTGCTGCTGGCAGCCCCTCCACACTCACTGTGAATAGGCCTTTGGTTCTCTTCCGGCTGCCAACGAAGAACCGGGCTCCTTTTACTGATAGGGTAGGTGGGAAGGGAACGTCAGCCATTCTGAAACGTGAATGGACAGTACTGGTGTCACAGATGAGGAAGGGCATACACCTCATTTGCTTGTAAAGATAGGGGGTGGGTCTCATATGGGAAACAGGCAAGCATCCTGGGGCAGCTATGGTGACAGGTTCCATAGCAATTAGAGGTCCAGGGCCTGCAAAGCAGAACCTGCTCTGAGTCAAAGGAGGACACCTTGCCCTCTGGCTGTAGTGGTCCCAGGTTCCCCAGCTGCGGCCACATCTCTCTACCTCCATCTCCTTCCCTATTGCATCTGAGCATGCTTGCAGCCTTTGCCCCGCCTCTGTGCCCTCTGCCTCCTCATCAGGAGCCATCTCACTCAGCTATCATCTTGACTTGGTTTAAGACCCAGTTGGCAGGTAAAGGCACATTCATAGCCCCCAGTGGACCTGAGCTGGGGCACCCCAGGACAGAGCCCCTGCAGGAATGCATGGTGAGGATACATACCGGGCCTTTTTCCTACCTCCTAGTGAACCTCCAGGACCTTTCCCTGCATCAGGACCCTAACCCACATAGCCATTGTGTGCTTTCACACAGCCCGGGGAGCAGGACCGAATGGTGGCTACAGATAGGAGAGAGGCACCTTGCTGGAGACCCAGGAGTCTCTGGAAAGTGCTGGTTGTGATTGCTATGAAGGTTGAACTCACTGAGGAAGCCATGAAAGATAGCAGGCCAAGGGAGGGACATGTGGTCGGAGCCTCTGCATGAGATGATATTGGCCTCTCCTATAGCTCCTGCTTCCTCAGCCTTAACCATCTGCTGCAGTGCATCCAGCTCCTGGCCAGGGCTACCAGGCAGCCAGCTCTCCACCCATAGGCCACCTCCACTCTGTGCTAGGCATCCTGGCCCCTGAGCCCAGCCTGCAGCCTTGGTGCTGGTATGCTTTCTCAACCCAAAGGTCCCAGATCTTCCTTGGCCACAGTCATTCCAATAAGTGATTTCTGGCCCCTGATTGGATCCCTCCATTTCATAGAGCAGTGTAGCTGCTCCATGACCCCTGGCTTGATAATGGAAGCCTGCCTTCCACCAACCCCTATCAGGGACCTGCCTTAGGGGCCACCACCTAAGGCATTCTCCATAGCCTGTCCCAGGTAAAGGATCTGGCAGGGCAGGAGCAGAAGCAGACTTGCCCAGGACCCACTCCCCCACTGCACAGTGGCAGAACAGCCCCCTGGAATGGGTTGCTCAGACGGCACACAGCATGGTCAATCACCGGGATGCACATCCTGTTACCTACATGTCTATTGGGAGGCCACAGTCCATGGTGAGGGAAAAGGATCCTTGGGACACAGCCAAGATCAGCGTGTGCCACTGGCTGTCCACGAGGCCGGGGCTCCGGAAGGACACACGGGTCTGCCAGGCACCAGCCAGGTCCTCGGTGAGAAATAGGAAGTGCAGCTGCGTGGGTGAGTACCTCAGGCCGAGCAGGAGTGTGTCCTTCTCCTCCGCCAGCAGGGAGAACAGGTATTCATTCTTCTGTGGAGAGCAGGGCCAGAGGTGGGGCAGGGCTGAAGGAAAGGGAGGAGGGAGGGACCGAGATGGGTGGACAAGGCCAAGGGGGTGAAGGGGAGAGGGGAGCGGGACCTGCGAGGGGGTGGGGAGAGAGGGTGGGCAAAGCAGGAGACTGGGTGGGACTGAGGGGAGGAAGATGGGGCCAACCAGGGAGTAGATGGAGCTGATGGCATCCTACCCAGCAGCACTTCTGGGTGGGAATTCAGTATGCCTCCCCACCCCAACCCCCCAGCTGGTTCAGGACAAGCAGCTTAGTCCAAGTGCTCAAGAGAACGTTTTCAGCTTATAGAGAGAAATGGGTCCTGACCTGCTCCATCGTGAAGGAGCCAGGAGGACCTCACACTGAGTAAAAGAAGCCAGGCTGTAAGGAAAGTGTCTGCTTAGCTTCCCAAAGGCTCTGATTCATGAAGTCACAACAATATGGGTGCTAGGGGTTTGGAGGGGATTGAAGAGCAAGCAGCCAATAATTGATAGGACAGCTGAGATTTGCTAGATAGAATGTGAATGAACTAACTCAGTGCCGCTGAGACACGCTCACATAGGTAAGCACAGTAAGTTCTATGTTACATGTGTTTTTATTATAGTCAGCAAAGCAGAGTGATACGTCTGTGATCTCAAAAGCAGGCCTTTCCACTGTGGTCTATTTGTATCCACACATCTCACCAAGCCACCCTTAACCAAACACAGGCTAAAGAGCTGAAAGGTAACTTAGCCCTGGCGATAGTTGAGCGTGTGCATGCAGATGTGTGCACACTTACTATTTTCCTTAGCGAGGCTCTGCCCACGTGAACCTGCATGCCAGTTCCACACCCCTGTCCTAAAGAGGGGAGGAGGGCTCTTTCTGCTCCTGTGGCACTCACAGTGGGAAGAGAGTGAGTCTGGTTCCTGGGGACTTCCAGGAAATGGTGTGGAGTTTGGGAACTGACAGGTGACAGAAAACAAAACTTTCCCAGTGATGTCCAGGGGATCGGGAGCCACAGTACGCTGAGAGGGAGCTGGAGCTGGAGAATCGAGAATGGGGAGGTATAGGGATGGAGGCCCCTAATCCCCTGCCCCAACACACATACCAGGTTCACGCTGGTTTGAGCTGTCAAGTGCTCAGCCTGTGCATTTTGTATTGGTTACTTTTGTTGCTGTGAGTAAGCACCACGACTTACGGAAGAGTTTATTGTGGCTTTGAGTTCCAGAGGAAGAGACCATAAAGGTGGGAGATTAATGGCAGCAGGTGAGAGGAACAGGATGCCAGAGGTCACATCTCTAATCACAAGCAGAAAACAGAGAGCATGGACCCAATGTGCGTGAAGTCATCAACTCCCAAAGCCCCAATATGCCCCAATAACATATCCTCAAGCAGCCCCCAAACACAGCCATCCGCCGGAGACCAAGTCTTCAAATAAATGTGCCTATTTGGGACATTGTTCATTCAAACAACCGGTGACCCCCAGGGGAGGTGGTTACTGTCCCCACTAGAAACGTCCCTGGCTAAGGAGACGGACATTCACTTGAACCACAGAGAGCATGAACCAGAGCATGAGAACAGATCCAGGTGGTTAAAAGTTTATTGAAGCCACAGGCTCTGACAAGCTGATGTCAGGGACAGGTACCCAGAGCAGAGGGACAGGGGGAGGGACAGTGACCCAGAGGATCAGCAGGCCTCCTGGGAAGGAGGAAAAGAGATCAAGTCACAAAAAAATACGTTGGGGATCCATCCTGGAGGACTGTCTATTCCAGATCAGAATCAGACTGAGAGAGCTGAGAGGGGCCACAGGGAGGGACCTGAGCCAACTGGCACCAGGAACAGGCCCATCAGCAGCTGGACTTCTGGCATGAGGAGAGGCCACAGCAGGCAGGGCGGGAGCAGGCAGGGCGGCAGAGCAGGGAAATGCTGGAGCAGGGCTTGCAGCAGCTGGGCTGGCAGGAGGAGGAACAGCAGGAGGAGGTGGGCACACAGCAGGCAGGTCTGCACACAGGGCGGCAGAGCAGGGACACGCTGGAGCAGGGCTTGCAGCAGACAGGCTTGCAGCAGACAGGCACGCAGCAGGAAGATTGACAGCATGAGGGCTGGCAGCTAGACTGCTGGCAGCATGAGGAAGATCCAGAGCAGATGGGTGTGCAGCAGACAGGCTTGCAGCAGACAGGCACACAGCAGGATGGCTGACAGCATGAGGGCTGGCAGCTAGACTGCTGGCAGCATGAGGATCCAGAACAGATGGGTGTGCAGCAGACAGGCTTGCAGCAAAGAGTCACACAGCAGGATGGCTGGCAGGGGGAGCAGGTACAGCAAGCTGGCTGGCAGCTAGACTGTTGGCAGCATGAGGGTGAGCAGGAAGATTGGCAGCAGGGGCTGGACACACAGCTCACTGGGGTGCAGATGAAGCTCAGGCAGGGGGCTGGGGCACAGCAGCTGGGCTGGCAGCAGCTGGGCTGGCAGCAGCTGGGCTGGCAGCAGCTGGGGGCACAGCAGCTGGGCACACAACAGCTGGGCTGGCAGCAGCTGGACTGGCAGCAGCTGGGCACACAACAGCTGGGCTGGCAGCAGCTGGGCACACAGCAGCTGGGCTGGCAGCAGCTGGGGGCACAGCAGGTAGGCTCACAGCAGCTCTCTGGGCAGTCATCCACCTGCCAGGAGGAGTTGGTGCGGGCGTCAGAGCAGACAGACATGGTGGAGGCGGCCATGGCGGGATTGGCTGGGAGCTGGGAGCTGGGAGCTTGTAAGTGTGTGAGTGTGTGAGTGTGTATGTTATGTACTGTGGTGTCAGCTTTTATACCACACAGGTTATGTTTTCAGCCGGAAGCCTCTAGAACCTTCCTTCCTCATGGGTATTTTAAGCTGCGTCCTGAAAGCCCTTGTTAATCTGTTTATTTACAGGAGAGTCACAGCTCCACAGGGTGTTGGCTAGGGCCTGAGGGTGCTGTGGTACTTGGTCCTCTGAGTGGAGCCTTGGCCATGCTGGATCTGGCTTTGTGCACACACCACATGCCTCCTCCTCCAGGCTGTTCCACTAGGCAGTGAGTAGCAGGAGTTCCAGCCCAGGTGGGTGGGTAGGGTTGTAAAGCCTGCTGGATATATACACCTGGTGGAGGAGTGTACCTGAACACTGGGGGAGACCATCCTGAGTGTCTCAACATGGCATAGATCTGCAGAGAATGAGACAATGAGGAAAACTAGAGGGAGACAGATTCTTCTAGAACACAGGCTTTTCAACAGAGAAGGGGAGCTGTGGAGAAAAGTCCCACAGATGCAGGGACTGTGGTCCTCTGCAAGTGAAACTTCACTGTGTGCTGCCTGTGTGCCCACATAGGCTGGGAAATCTGTGTCTTGACTGCGCAGTGATACTTCAGGAGCATCCAGACAGCCCAGCACCCAACCTGAGCCTAGTAGGATGGATGCACCAAGATTGAGTCTTCCTGTATGTGCTGTGGCTGTGGGATGACTGCGGGTGAACGGCACCAGGGAAGGGGTGGTGGTGGCTGAGCTTTAGTAAGAGGCTTCTTCGAGAGCTCCTGCCTACAGAAAGGAGTGTCAAAGCCAGGGACAGCAAAGGACCCACAGGAACCAGTTGAAGCTTCTACCGCTGAAGGAGCGAGCGAGCCGGCCTCCCGGGACCCACAGAGCCACCGGCCACCCTCCCACGCCCCTTTCCTCCCCTCCATTTAAACCATTCTTTGTGGTTTACGATATTCTAACCTTAAGATTCAACCAGCGATTGCATACCAAGTTTATCTCCTTCTACGGCTCTATAATATTCCATTGTATTGATTCACCACGGTGTATCCAGCCAGTGACCGGTGGGTATTTTGACTGTCCCCTGTTTACTACAGATATGAATAAAGCTGTTGTCACTGTCGTTTATGTTTGGTGTTTGTGTTTCGTGTGACAATGAGTTTTCTTTTCTCTAGAGGAAATCACCGCGTAGGCTTCTTGGGTCACGTGATGGGTAAATGTTTATGTTCAGGCTCCACTATTGCTGAGAGGCAGGCCATCTGCATCCCACAGTAGTGTGACTGGGTCCTGCTCTTCGTTCTTTGTGTTTGTGGTGGTAGCTGGCATTGTGTTGATGAGTGTGTTTCGTGGGCCTATCTGCCCAGCTGCCTCGAGTCTGCAGAGTGTCCTACACACAATGTGAGGGAATGTACTCCCCACACTGTGCTTCTCGGCCCCGGTGGCTCTAACAGGCTGTGGGGCTCCTGTACTTGGCATTTCCCTCTGAGACTCTCACCCGCTTCACTCCTGCCCAGGCATCTCACTTGGTAAAAAGTTTCTTTCATATTTATGCCTCTTTTTAAATTTTCTTCTTTTGAGACAAGGTCTCATGTAGCCTAGGCTAGCCTGGAATTCACTGTTTAGCTCAGGATGGCTTGCAACTCCTGGTGTTCCTGCCTCTTGCTCCTCCTCCTAAGTAGTGGGATTTCAGGTGTGCCTTACCTACCATGCCTGGCTCATGCCTGTATGGTTTAAAGGTGAGTGTTTAGTACCCACGAGGCCCATCTCATCAGCCAGTCTCTTGTACAGTCTGCTTCCCACATTGATCTGAGGAATCTGCCTCACACTAGGGCACCCAGATACTTTGCCTGTATGTGCGTGCTTCGTAAAGGTAAAACATGCCCACTCCCTTCTCTCTCCCTCCCTCTCCTCCTCTCTTCCCCTCCCCTCCCCCTCTCATGGGTTTACTGAGCACATAGCTGGGGCAGTGGCCTGGGCAGTGACAAGGGACCTGTTCTTTGTTATTTATAGATCAGGACCATCGGAAGGGCTCATGGTTGCTTTATGGGAAAATTTTACTGAGAAGCGTGAATTGTCCATATTTTGTTCTTTTTTTTTTTCTTGTGGTGATTATGGGTCTCTCGAAATTACTTATTAATTTAAAAACCAACTTGCAAATTTCTGCAAAGGTGTTTACTCAGATTCTGCTAGGAACTGGACACATCTCCAGATGAGCAGGGGCACCACTTCCTGATGTATTTAGAAGGCTTTCATGTGAGTTCCATAGTTTCCAAAGCATGCGTTTTTGCAACTCAGGGGCTTAGCTTGGATATGAGGACATCTGCCCCTCAATGGTGACTGGGACTGGTGGGCTGAGTAGATGTCTGTCCCTTGCTGGAGGTTAGGGAGAAGTCATGGCGCATGGTGATGTCAGCTGTGGGTTCCTAACAGATAACAGAGTAAGGAAGTCCCCTCGCCTGGGTTTGTGGGGGTGGGGCTTTTATTGTGAAAGAGAATTGGGATGTCCCAGCTCCTTTTCTGCACATAATGATATAATTGTATGATGTTTGCTTTTATTATATCAATGCGATATATTGCACTGGCTGATTTTTCAGATATTAAATCAATGTTTTATTCCAGAGATAAACCCCACTTAGCCCCAGTGTTAAGCAGCTTTGCGTTACTGTGACAGAATACCGGAGGCAATCTGCCTAAAATGAGGAAAGGTTACTCGGCTCCTAGGTTAGGAAGTGTCACTATGCCTTGTGCGAAAAAAAACCACGTGACCATGGCAATTTAAAGAAGAAAGAGTTTCTGGGGGCTTATGCTTCCCGAGAGATAAGAGCCCAGTATGCTGGGGAAGTGGCAGGTTGTAGAGGCACCCGGGGCAGCTGGGGCAGCAAGCTGGGAGCTCACATCCTGAGCCACAAGCGTGAAGCAGAAAGAGACTGTGGAACAGAGGGAGCCTCTAAGCTCTCAAAGCCTGCCTCCACTGACGTTCTTCCTTCCACAGAGCCGCATGTCCTATTTTCCCC